GCGCGCGGGGGGGGGGTTCCCGTGCTCCTTGGGGCACCATCGAGGCGTGCGCCTAAACCCATCCGTCGGAAGAAGTAGGTAGAACCATGACGCAGGAAGGCGTTGACAGTAGATTGGGTTGCGTCCGCCCCCTGAGGAGGACGGGAAAGATGAAGCCACTCGATCATTGAAGCAGGAAGGCACTTAAGGCAGATTGGGATCTGGGACTCCAGAAGTACCTACTTTCAACGACCGATGGGTCTTGGGGTCGTCTTGGGGCCCTCGTGATCAGACTCGGGTCCCTCCTGGCCTGTCTTGGGGGCCTCTTGGGGGCTTGTTGGGCCGTCTTGGGGGCCTCTTGGGGGTTTATTGGGCCATCTTGGGGACCTCTTCGGCCCTCCGTGGGCTCCTCCTTGCCTGTCTTGGGGCTCCCTTGGGCGCCTCTTGGGCCGTCTCGGGGCCATCCTGGAGGCCTCTTGGGCCGTCGTGGGGGTCAAGACGGTCGACAACGCGAGAATTTCTGAGCCCGTAGGAAGCCCAAAGGAAATCTACGATGTCGGCCTCTTAGGGCCTCGGTGCCTCCTTGGGTCGTCTCGGGGCTCTTCTGGGTAACTCCGGTGCCGTTTCGGGGCCCTCCGGGCACCCTCCGGTGCCGTTCCGGGCTCCCCGGGGCGCTTGGGGAACCAGGGGTCTCCCGAACCCGCCAGGCTTCCTACACATCTATGTACATATATGTGTATACACATAAATACGTTATATCTATATATACAAAAATATATATCACCCGCAAACAAACACACACACATATATATGTATATATATATATATATACATGATGGTGCTCCTCATGGTATAGCACGGTGGCTGTAAGGAAGTCCGGTGGCTGTAAGAAAACTCAAAAGCCTCGCACAGGGGGGATGCACTTGCCCTCGCCGGGAAAGTAAGGCACACGCCCGAGCGAAGCGCAGGCCTGCGATGCGCCGTCGTTTTTTCGCGCGGGCCGCGAGGCGCGAAGCTGGGCCAGCCCTGCCCCCCCCTGGTAAGGGGCAACGGATGGGGGGGACAGGCATTAGGGGGGGGCACATCGACCTGGAATCGGCGATACGTCGCCAACACATTGGCGATACACCGGACTCACTTCTATAGCGCTCACTTCTATAGTGCTCACTTTGAAATTGTGGTCTGGAAGGGGCCGCACATACAGGCACATGCCGCACAGTCGCATGCACATGCCCATGCAAATATACAAAAGCCTCAACAGCATTGCCGCACATGCGCGCACATGCCACACCGTCCGACGCACAGTCGAATGCACGGTCAAGCAAAACTCTGAAAGCATAGACGCACATGCCCGCACATGCCGCAGAGATGTCGCAGGCGATAGTGGCCTGACCACCTGAGCTCGGGGCATTTCGCAACCCAGAGTTCCGAGGATGTCTCAGGCAAGCGTGGCCGGATCACCATGGGGCAGGGCATCTTGGAAACCAGAGTGGCGAGGATGTCGCTGGTCAAGGTGACCAGACGACCATGGGGCAGGACACCTCCGAGGTCTGAGTTGTGAGGATGTCTCAAGCGAAAGTGGCCTGACCACCATGGGGCAAGAGATCTCTGAGGTCAGAGTTGCGAGGATGTCTCTGGGGAGAGTGGTCTGACCACCTCAGCCCAGGGCATCTCGGAGCCCAGAGTTGCGAGGATGTCTCAGGCAGGACTGGCCTGACCACCTGCTCAGGGCATCTCAGAACCCAGAGTTGCGAGGGTCTCAGGCGAAAAAGGCCGAGACACTATGGAGCAGGGCATCATTGAGGTCAGAGTTGCGAGGATGTCTCAGGCAAAAGTGGCCTGAACAGCTCAACTCAGGGCATCTCGGGCGAGGATGTCTAAAGCGAAAGTGGTCTAACCACCTCAGCTCAGGGCGTCTCGGAACCCAGAGTTCCGAGGATGTCTCAGGCGAAAGGGGCCGAGACACTATCGAACAGGGCATCATTGAGATCAGGGTTGCGAGGATGTCTCAGGCGACAGTGGCTGACCACCTCAGCTCGGGGCATATCGGAATCGAGACTTGCGAGGATGTCTCAGGCGACAGTGGCCTGACCAGCATGGGGCAGGAGATCTCTGAGGTCAGAGTTGCGAGGATGTCTCGGCGAAAGTGGTCTAACCACCTCAGCTCAGGGCGTCTCGAAACCCAGAGTCCCGAGGATGTCTCAAGCGAAAGTGGCCGGGCCACCATGGGGCAGGGCATCTCCGAGACCAGAGTTGCGAGGATGTCTCAGGCGAAGGTGGCCAGATATCTTCATGTCAAAGCACGTCGGCCTCCAGATTGCCGACGACGTCTCACGCGGAACTGGCCCGACGCGAACGCGCCGGCTTCCGGAGACGAACGCCGGCCCCGGCATTTTTGCACGTCCCGCACATGCCCCGCACAGGTACGCACAGTATTCGCACAGGCCGAGCTCGCCGGTGGCCGAGCCAGGCCAGCGCTTCCGAGATTCCCTGAGCTCGGGCCGTCAAGCCACTTTCGCCTGAGACATCCTCGCAACTCTCACCTCCTCCTCCTCCTCTTCCTCCTCCTCCTCCTCCTCCTCCTCCTCCTCCTCTGGCCGAGCCGAACAGGCAGGCGGGCCGGCCGAGCCGGGGGCGCCCGCCTCCTCCGCTCCCCCCTCCTCCCCCCCCCTCCACCTCCCCCCCCCCATCCATGCTTCTCCGGCCGAGCTGAGAAGGCGCGCGGGAGAGTATTTTATTAGGCGGGCGCGCCACCGCCAGCTCACGAACCGGGCGAAGAACCGCCCCAGCCAGCAGCGGGCGAGTCTAAACGCACAACAAACTCTTTCAGGAAGCCCTGGCACGCCCCAGGTTAGCCCTGCGAAGGCCAGGAGGCATTGGAGGCACAGGGGTCCCAGACAGCTCCTAGGGCATGAGCGTGCATGTGCATTGGGATGTGCACGCATGTGCGCCCGCGCGCTTCACCGCATGTGCGTGCATGTGCGGGCCCGCGCGGCCTCCCGAAGAGAGGTTGCACAGGCATGTGCGTGCATGTGCCGATGACAGATCTGCGATTCTCGAACACCTCCCGCATGTGCAGGCATGTGCGCGCATGTGCGTCGGACTGTGCGTGCATGTGCGTATGATGGATACATCAAAACACAGCGCACATGCCCCCGCACATGCCCGGGCACGACGTGCACAGTAGGAAGTCCATCCAAGAAGGACCGCACAGGCCTGGCACATGACTGGCACATGCCGCGCACATGCGCGCACATGACAGCGCAAAAACGGCCGCACATACACCCACCCAGGGGTATAGATGTGAGTGCGGTGTAGGCCCCCGATCATGAATCCGCACCTTCCCGTGTGCAGGTTGGTGCTATGGGGCCCCCATCGGCGATGGGCGATGGGGGGTCGATGCATCCCCCCCATGCCTGTTCCCCCCTAGTGTTGCCCCCGATGAGGTAGATGTGTGTGTGTATGCAATCGGGCCTCCATCGGCGATCAATGGGCGATTAAGGGTCGACGCACCCCCCCCCCCCATATGCCAATTCCCCCCCCCCTCCTACCGTTGCCCCCGAGACGGTAGGTGTGTGTGTGTGTGTGCTATCCGGTTGCCATCGGCGATCAATGGGCGACTGGGAGTCGATGCGTACCCCCTGTGCCAATCCCCCTCCGATCGCTGCCCCCGATGAGGTCGGTGTGTGTGTGTGTGCTGTCGGGTTCCCAATCGGCGATCAGTGGGCGATTGGGGGTCGATGCCCCCCCCCCCTTCTGCCTACCCCCCACCTATCGTTGCCCCCGACAAGGCAGGTGCATGTGTATGCTATCGGGTTCCCAATCGCCGATCCACGGGCGATCGGGGGTCGATGCATCCCCCCTGATGCCTGTGTCCCCCGACCCATCGGTCGGACGAAGCAGGTCGAAGCATAAAGTAGGAAGGCGCTGAGAGTAGATTGGGCGTCCGCCCGCCCCCCAAAGAGGAGGGAAGAGGGGAAGCCGCTCGAGCATCGCAGTGGGAAGGCGCTTCCAGTGGACTGGAATCTGGGACTCCAGAAACACACATGCTTTCAGCCACCGATGGGTATCGCTGTCCTCGATGAGGTAGGATTGCAAAAAAAACCCGAAGGATTGCAAAAAAAAACCATTGAACGAAGGATTGCAAAAAAAACCGTTCAAGTGTTTTTTTTGAAATTCTTCGTTCAAGGGGGGGGGGACGCCTGCCAGTGAGACAGGGGCCGCGCACCGCCGAAGGGAGACGACGGGGGCGTGCGGCCCTGCGCCGGCGCCCCCCGAACATCTAGCACCACTTCGCGGGAGGGGCCGAGGGCAGATCGCGGGGCACGCAGCGCAGCCTTGCGCCACGTGCCCTCCCTCCGCCCCCTCCTGCCCCCTTCGCTCCTGGCTCCTCCCCGCTCGCTCCTCCACCCTCCTTCTGCTTCCCTGTCTCTTTGTTTTGCCCCCCCCCCCCCCCCCCCCCCAAAACGCGCCGACGCGGCTGCTCCTCGTCCTCATCCTCAGCGCACGGGATCGGGGGAACACTGCAGTACAGCTCGTCTCTCTCGTCCGAGCACGCAGCCGCAGATCGCCGTGCGCTCACAGCTCCGTTGCCGCCGATATGGGTGATCTCCGTACCCGTCGGTCCTCCAGATTATCTGTGTCGCGGGCCTCGTCCTCAGCCCTGACTCCCCTCTCCATGCCCCCCATCCGAGGAGAAGGACGACGAGGAGAAGGAGGAGGGAAGAGGCTGGAAGAGGAGGAGGAGGAGGAGGAGGAGGAGGAGGAAGATGACTACTCTCAAACACCGCAAACCACGGCTAAATCAGATTGCCGCGCTGCCCGACCGGGAAGCCGGGTGGCCTTCTGAGTCAAACGGGTGCTCATGGTGCCGATGTTGCAAAAACAATACCGTTCAGAGACGGAAAGGTTCTGACTAGCTCCCAGCGTCCCGTCTCACCTTTACTAACATCTTATAACCTTTACCTTTACTAATAGCTTCACATTTGCTAACATCTTACCTTTACTAACATCTTCCTAAG